GAGGGGCACAGGGGGGTCGCAAAGCAGCCCCGGCAGCTCCTGTCATAGAATCCCTGAATGGTTCGGGTTGGGAGGGACCTTCAAGCCCCCCCAGTGCCACACCCTGCCCTGGGCAGGGACACCTCCCACCAGACCAGGTTGCTCCAAACCCCCTCCAACCTGGCCTTGAACCCCTCCAGGGATGGGGCAGCCACAGCTTCTCTGGCCAACCTGGGCCAGGCTCTCACCACCCTCACACCAAACAAGTTCTTCCCCACATCTCAGCTCCATCTCCCCTTTCAGTGTCAAACCCTTCCCCCTCATCCTCGGGCTCCCCTCCCTCATCAAGAGTCCCCCCACCAGCTTTCCTGGAGCCCCTTGAGGGACTGGAAGGGGCCTAATGGCATTGGGGTTTGGCTGGGGTGCCAGGCTCTGCCCTTGGGGTAATGGGAATGGACACCTAAATACCATGGTTTGGCTTCCAGAAAGGGGAGAAGTGGTTTGTGTTAAAACATGTCATCTGGGGCACCCAGTTCTGGGGTGTATGGAATAGCTTAGGCACTGCCAGCAGGGCTCTGATGGGTGTTTCTTACTGGTGGGACACAGTCAGCCCTCCATTATGTGGTGCCAGGCTGGGCAAGGATGGGACCCCCTAAAATATGTGTCCCTGAACCCAGTGATGCTGTGGGGAAGTGCAGGGAAGCGTTCGCCATGGGGTGGGCTAACCCAGCAGTCACCTTTCCCAGGCAAACCCATCCCCAGTGATGCAAACCACATCCCAGTGCCCAGAACTGGGGTCCTGGGAGAGGCCATACGCAGCCAAGGGGTGTCATGGGCTGCGGCAGCCCCCATAGTCCCAGCTGTTGAAGAAAAACCACAAGAAATTAAAAAAAAATAAAATATGAACTTCAGAACCACTTGAGCCAACCCATGAACAAATAATTTTAATGTTTTTTTTTTTTCAGCAGACCGTAGTTTTCTCGGAGCTCCACAGTCTCCTCTCTTTGAAGTTGGACAGATACAGTAAACACAACAAATATATGATACAACCCATCACAGCTGGATTAAAAAAAAAATACACAAAATATAATACATAAAAAAATGGATTTTTAACATTGTGGACTGACACAGCTCTAAAAATGGTGATTGTAACCCTGGTAAGCTTTACAAAGTCTTTAAAAAAATAAAACAGTACTTCATGTGAAATTCATAAATACACTGGAGGAGAACGGAGGGGCTGGGGGGAAAAAGGTGGGGGAGGTTGAGAAAGTGTCTCTGGGATCCTGGCTGAACCCTGGCCGGGGCTGTTGGGGGCACCGTGTGCGTGGGATGTGGGGGGATGGAGGGATGGAGGCATAAACCGGTCCAGTTAACGAAGAGTTTTGTCCCCCAGGGCAGGGGCAGGGCACGCCTGGGGTTTATGGGGGGGAAGTTTTGAGTTTTCATTCCCAGAGTTTTAGATCGGCGGGTGAAATGGAAGAAAGGAAAAAAGAACCACGAAAACAACAAACAAACAAACAAACAAACATGCTACATGTGAGACTTCGGGCAGGCAGCCCCAGCATGGCCCTGGGATGGGATGCCGGTGCCTTTCCCTGGATTTTTCCCCCCCCTCACTCGTGTCCGTCCAGCCCCACCACCGAGTCCTCTCTGGGGCACGGGGCTGGGGTGGCTCTGCCCTGTCCCCGGGGATGGGTGGCTTTTCCTGGCAAGGAGAGGTCGAAGTCCCCATGCCCGGCGGGACACGTGGCACCACGATGGCAGTCAATGCCCCTTCCTGAGCTGTGGGGCTGCTCCCGCCCCTCTGCACCCAGCAGCATCGAGCCTAAACCCCCCCTCCACTCCCCCCATCCCGGGCTCCTGCGCCCCTCGAACCGCTCCTGTCCCACAGCACCCAGCTCTGCACCTCCCGCTGCCCTCACTCCTCCACTGGCACAAGAAACCCGGCCAGGCCTGGCCACCTCACACTCCCTGTCCCCACCACCACCACCCTGCTCCGTGCCACCACCGCAAAACCCAACCTCTGTCCCTCTGCGTCCCCTCCTGCGCCCTGGGGATGCTGTCCCCAGGAACAGCCCCAGGACCGGGAATGCTGCCTTGCCTTGTTTTGGGCTGGAGCCACAAAAACACCTCCAAGCAGACCCGGTCCCCTGTCCCGCTGTCCCTCCTACCCTCTATCCCCTCTCTGTCCCCAACTCTGCCCACTTGCAGCCTGGCCCTGTGTTGCCCAACGTGCTTCTCCCGGCCCAAGCTGCTTCCCTGGCCGCTTCCCATGGGATACAGGGAGCCGCCGGAGCAGCTGCGGAGAGCAGTCAAAACCAGAACATTCAACACAGAAAAAAAAAGGCAAAAAAGGTGGGGGGTGTGGGGGGGAAAGACTGAAAATGTACATATGCAAAGTAAATCAGGCAAATCCACCCCCACTGCTCTCCTCTCAAGGCTCCTCGGTGAGTGACAAGGAGGGGGGGTGGGTTTAGCCTGGGCCCCCCCCAAGTGCAATCCCTGAAAGCACATGCAGAGCTCGGGGGTCCCATTGCCACATTAAAAACCAGCCCCCAGGGGCACAATCCTGATTACAAGCATGGTGTATTTTTAAAAAGTATTAAAAAGCACTTTAATTAAAAAAAAAAAAAGGGGGGGGGGAAAAAAAAGCCATAAAAAAATTACTTTGCATCATTGATGCCCTTCAGCGCTGCCCGTTCCCGGTGCCCCTGGCTGGGCACAGAGGAGCATCCCCGGGGAGGTGACAGCAGCCCCCTCTGCCACCTTGCCCTGCTCCCGCCTTGGCACCTCCGTCCCCACGTCCCCGACGCCGCCAGCCACTGCCACCCCAATGGGTTTGGGACCAGACCTGCCACAATGCCGCGTCCTCCAGCCCGTCCAGGCTCCCTCCTCTCGGGACTGGGACCGCATCCGAGCAGGGGGGGGGCAAAAGGAGAAGGGGGGGGCTCATCCTCCGCTCTGACACCCCGCTGCTGGCGGCGGCACGGCGGGCTCCCGGCCTCCATCGGCGACACCGAGGGCCGGTTTATCCCCATCCAGCGCCACACACGGGTTTCCTTTCTCCCTACACTTCCTTTCCCATTCTTC